ATATATATATATATTATATATGTGTTTTTCTTATAAAATAAAGAGAAAAAAATCATATAAATAATTTTTTTTCTTATTTTTTGAACTCTGAATGTTATTTGTCAATTTCTTTATATTGGTACATAAATTTTGATTTGAAATAATGTTTTCATTTCTCTCATAATATTTTAATTATTTTTTTATATTAAACATAAAATTATTGTTCTAACTACTCCAATCTCTTCACATTCAACCACTAGGCTAACCCTATTAGTTCTTTATTGAAAGAGTTTGCAGAATTTTTTTAACTTCTTATCTAATTTGGTTTTATTTATCATAAATATTTATGAATTACATATTAATATTTTAAAATAAATTATTAATAAATAAAAAATAATTTTTTCATTATAAATCATTTATCATAAATCTAAAATATAATTTATATATTTAAGAATATCTATTTGTAAAAATTTTAAATATAACTTATACATTTAAATATAATCCTTATTACAATCATCTTTATAATCTTTTCTATCTTTACAAAAAATATATTTATTTATATACATAATTTACTTTAAATTTTAATTATATATAATAAATATTAATTACGTACATGCTAAAATATTAGTTATAAGTATAAAAATATAAATTTTTACATAATAATTGTTCTATTTAATATATAATCAACTAAATATTTGATGGAGTTGATAAAAAAAATAGAATTAATTAATAAACTAAAATGTCTACACATAATTAGTGTAACAGTTTTTCCACTTTTGAACAATTAGAAATTTAGTAGTGCTAGATATATATTCTCAAACACTTTTCTAATTTAGTGACAAAATTTATCCAAATATATTATTTTTAATTAATAGTAAATAGTTTTGATGGTTAAGAACCAAAAAGTTAATAGTGCGTTTGGATGAAGAATTTTACAAATTCAAGGAATTTTAAATTGGACAACGGAAGTAATTATGCTCTTGCTAGTAGGTTGCTAGAAGAGAAAAGAAAAGAAAATTTATTGGACTCCTTGTGCTGCACATTGTATAGATTTGATGTTAGAGGACATTGGTAAGCTGCCCAATATAAAGAAGACCATTCAGCAAGCTATCTCTCTTGTTGGCTTCATTTATAGCCATTCAAGCACTTTGAGCATGTTGAGGTTCTTTACTGGTGTGAGGGAGTTAGTGAGGCATGCAATCACTAGATTTGCAACATCTTATCTTTCCTTAGAGAGGATTCATCAAGAGAAAACTAATCTTCGAAAGATGTTTATGTCAGAAGAGTGGAATGAAAACAAGCTAGCAAAGGAGGCCAAGGGAAAAGAAGCCACTAAAACTGTCTTGATGCCTAGTTTCTGGAAGAATGTTGTTTTCATTATGAAAGTGATGGCTCCTCTTGTAAAAGTGCTTAGGCTTGTGGATAGTGAGAAAAAACCAGCCATGGGCTACATATGTGAGGCAATGGACAAGGCAAAGGAAACCATTATGAAATCTTTTAAAAATGAAAGCAAATACAAGGATGTGTTTGCAATCATTGATAAAAGATGGGATATTCAACTTCATCACCCTTTACATGCTTTTGGTCACTTTTTGAACCTAGAGTTCTTTTATGCCAACCCACAGATGGAGTTTAACGGTGAGATTATTAGGGGTTTGTATGATTGTATCAATAAATTGCTAGGAGATTTGGAGATGGAAAAGATTGTTCATAAGGAGTTGGCTCACTATAAAGCTGCGAGTGGTATGTTTGGGTCCACAACTACTATAGCAATGAGGGGTAAAGTTGCACCGGGTAAGAGACAAAACATTGCAACTTTTGAACTTTCATTCTTTAAGTCATTTGCTCAAATTTCTATGTTTAACATATTTTGTTAGCATTTATAGCTCAATGGTGGCAGATGTATGGTTTAGATACTCCATATTTGCAACAACTTGCAATAAGGATCCTTAGTTTGACATGTAGTGCTTCGAGATATGAACGTAATTGGAGTATCTTTGAGCAAGTAATTAATTTTTTAATTCCTATTTAAAGTCAACAATCAATGTCTTGCTTATTATTCCTTAAGTAATAAGTTTTTATTTAATTATTTTAGGTTCATACTAAGAGAAGGAATAGACTCGAGCATAAAAGACTACATGACTTGGTATTTGTTAAGTATAATCAAGCACTCCATCAAAGGTATAACCTTAAGGATGAAATCAATCCCATTAGTTTTAATGGGATTGATGATTGCAATGAGTGGCTAATTAGAGAGATGGATGGGGAAAAAGGTGAAGATGAGAGGGTTCATGAAAGAGATGATGACCTTACATGGAGACAATTTTATTAAGCTTAGGGACTTGATGAGCCTAGACAATACACTAGGCGTCACAAAAGGAGAGGGGCAAGTAGGAACATCTACTAATCCTTCTAAAAGAGCCAAAAGAGTAGTTTCAAAGAACAAGGGGAAAAAGGTTGAAGATGTCGTGGCATCAGAAGATTCTAGCAGTGAGAAGGAGAAATTAGTGCCAAATGCTAATTTCATACATTCAGATGGAGAAAAAGCTGAAGGATTTTTAAATGAGCAACATCATCATGTGGAAATTAATTATGCAGACATTGATGAGGATGAAAAGGATTAAACAAAGTTTTAGGAATTGTCATTGTGTTTTGCTATTTTTTAACATTGTTGCTTTGTTTTGATGGCTATTTAATCCTTTTGTTGGTTAGGAATTTATGTTTTTTTATGATGACTTTCACTAGATTATGAATGCCATGAATTTTAGATTGTTATATTGTTGGTTCTAATATGTGTTTATTATTTTTCTATTTTTGCATCATATTATATATATATATATA